CAAATGCATCCTCTGGTGCTTTAAGTTCTACCAATTCCACTTCTTGAGTGGAATGTGTAAGATTTTCAGTTTGACCGTTACCAAGGAAAAGCCTATAACTCTCAAATATTTTATTTAATGTCTCCTATGTTTTTGTGTACAAAGATACAACAACATCATTTGTATATGCCTTGTTCAATCCCCACCTAACAAACTGCATCTTATGTCGAGGATCAAGAACAACAGCAACAAAGATCAACATATTCATTTTTTCAACCTTACCCCAATATTTATCATACTTAACTTTTATATTTTCAGCCATAATTCCAAGCAAGTTGTCAGAACTTTTTAATTCTATCCACCCGTTTAATGTAGTCAATATCTTAATATGTTCATTAAAATATTGAGAAGAGGTCACAAAAGTACTACCTGAAACCTTCTTTGTGATATCAAAAAATATTTTCAAAAAATTAACAAAGCATTTTGCATTATCCCAATCCTCTTTATTAGGAATACCATCTTTCATCAGCACAAAATCAGCACACTTCTCACTCAATCTCTTAAATGCCTTTTGAAACTTCAATGCACTTTCAAGCATAATATATGTGGAATTCCACCTAGTGGAAACATCCAACTGAACAATTGATTTTTCGTGTAACCTAACTTCTTTAATGCAAGTCTTAAACCTATCCATACGACCTGGAGATGCACGAACATATCTAACAGCATTCCTAATCTTACTAATTGAAGAATGATAGTCTTCTAGTCCATCTTGGACCACAAGATTCAGAATATGTGCACAACAACGAACATGCATATGTTCCCCTTTCAATGGATGAGAATTCCAATCGTTCATTGTATTTTTCAAGTAAGTTATAGCAACATCGTTAGTACTAGCATTATCAACCGTAATGGTGAAAACATTACCTATTAGCCATTCCTCCAAACATTTTTCAATTTTTTTACCGATGGTTACTCCTTTGTGATTCACAATTGGACAAAAATTCAGAATCCTTTTATGGATTTTCCAATCATGATCAATGAAATGTGCAGTGAGACAAAGATAACTCAAATTTTGCACAGATGTCCAACAATCAGTTGTAAGACAAACACATTGATTTGATTTATTTAGCACACTTTTTAACTTATGTTTCTCACTCGTGTATAAATCCTAACAATCTCTAGCAATTGTAATCCTTTTAGGAATGGAGAGTTTAGGTTGCACAACACTCATAAAATGAAGAAACTCCTCTCCCTCAACAAACTTAAAAGGCAACTCATCAACAATAATCATCCTAGCTAAAGCTTTCCTACATGCCTCAGCATCAAAATGAACACCAGTGAGAACACTATCAGATCCATTCCCATCTTCTTTTTTCAATTGTTGAAGAACAAGTGTCTGTTGAGTGGGATCAAGAGACTCTTTTGGAAACTTCTTACACTGATGCAACAAATGGTGTTTCAAATTACTAGTGCCATTTCTTTGTGAATCAACAGCATATGTTACATCACACCAATTACACTTAGCTCTTAATCCTATTTTTGTAAAATGTTCCCAAGTCCAAGATCTAGGTTTAATAGGTTTTCTGTTACCTGAATCTCCAGCTACAACATTAGGATCATTGGATGTGACCAATTTTGAAGCTTCTCCAATCTTTCTTTTCTTATTAGCATTTTCTTCATCATTGTTTGTTTCATTACTTTGTACCAATGGAGGTGGAGCTTCAGTTGTTTCACCCTATAAAATACACATGAAAAAAATAAATTTTTGAACATCAACTATAATATTACACCATTGTAACAGTAACCATTTCTAAAGGTAAAAATCTCTACTTAAAATTAATTTTTGATACCTGAATAAGGTTGTTAACAATATCCGATTGAGTAATAGGACCAGTTTGGCTCATTCCTGTAAAAACAGATCAAACTTAAAATTAGAACAAAGTATAAACAACTAGTTGTAGAAAAAGCTAATAAAAATATATTATGAAAAAATTATGAAACAAAATATGAAAAACTAACAAAGAACAGATCTTGAAGAAATTATGAAAAACTAACTAAAATTTGTTACTGTTATAACCAAGTAACCAACATGAAACGATTTCACATAAGAAAACTAATGAAAATAATTTTTAGTAAGCTACTGTTATAAAATTGAGAACATAAGTAAATTAATTTTAAATAAGCTTTCAACAACACAAATTAGAACAGCTTTACAAAAGGCTAAAAATTTGAATAGCTTTAGAAAATCTGATCGAACAAAACTACAAAGTACAAAAAAGATAAAATCAAACAAATTAAGAAGCTTGCTTACTGATAGTATAATTCAGAAAACTAATTGAGATGAATGTCTATTTAGCATTATTGAATTTTTTGCTTGCGATATTGAATTTCTTGCGGTTACAACAATGAATAGCATTCATTGTATTTAATTTTAAGATAATTTAGAATCTGAATAGGGAAATTATAGGAATGATTGAGATTCTCTAGAGAAATTAGTGCTGACTAACATAATTAATTTGGGAGGATGGCTATAAATGATTCGATATTAATTTATTTTAAATAATAAATGGCAAGTAAATGGAAGTAATACCGGTTCGGTTTGGACCGGTTCAGTTCTCATGAAGCCAACCGTAAACCGAACCGAACCGGTCGGTTATGCTACATGGTGATCCAAATACATAAAAAAAAAATCATTTTTTTTTGGATTTCGGTTTTTTCGGTTTGATTTTTGGATTTTTTTTGGATCGGATTGGATCTGAACACCGCTAGTGGAAAGTTTCAATCATTTTGTATGTCTTGCTCTCATGCCATTGCGGCATGTACATATGCTCATCAAGATGCATTACTACTTCTATCTCCCATTTACAAGGCCGAGACCTTGCTCAACGTATACAACAATTACTTTGCAATGGTAGCAAAATCGGGTTATTGGCCTGCGTATGAAGGGAAAATAGTCTGGCAGAACGATCAAATGCGAAGGAATAAAAAGGGTTGTCCCAAAAGCAAGTGTATCACAACTTAAATGGACTTGCTTGACAAGCTAGAAAGAAAGTGTGATTTATGCCGTCAGGTCAGACACAACCGAAAAAATTGTTTCATTCATGCGACTAGCTCGACAATATAAAAACTGTATTCACAATATATGCACTTTTTTTTATATCTCAACAGAATGTTTTTCATTACAAACATTTGTTACAACATATCAAACACAAACAAGACATAAAATGCCATCATGATTAAAACAACAACACAAACACCAGATAAACCAACAACACATATGCCACATAAAAATAACATCAATAACACAACAACATATCTAAGAAATTACAACTGTCAAAATAATTTCATCGAATTTGTGCACCATCACCATTACGTCTTTGTCTATTTTGACTTCCTCCAACCAACAATGAGGTCTTTCAGTTGCAAGTGAGGTGGTTGTTTTCTTCTCTGGATCCTTCTAATTTGTTCGCCATCTTCGATGTCTCCGTCTAACCATCACATCAACTCTCTCATCAGACGCTCCATGAAATGAATGAGCCAAAATTTCATTTTCATTGGAGGTTTGGTGGCCGAGAAAATAAAGTAGCTATCTCTCGTGAAAATCATAAGAGATGTCATGACGTAAAAAACATAGAGAAAATGAGAAGAGAATATGAGAAACTGTGAAGAACGTTGGATAAATAGGTGTTTTATTTATAGAAAACACAATTGCATGTATGAGTCATCTTAGATGGCGCCTCCTCCCACAAATATAGAGCATGTGCATCTCACATGGCTTTAGGACAGTGTATACGCCATGTGAGATGACGCCTAAGGTCAAACTTCAAGTGAATGCATCATCTCACTTGGTTGCTGCATGTTAACGTTTTTTCGAAACTTAATTATTTGCGTATTTTTTCCGAAACGTAGTTACTTGTGTATTTTTTTCAATGGTTATTGCAAAAAAAAATCTCATTTTTTCGATTTTCCAAAAAATCTTGATCTTTCGATTTTTTGAAAAAACTCAATTTTTTCGTATTTATGAAAAAACTCGATTTTTTTGTATTTCAGAAAAAACTTGATTTTCTCGTATTTTCTGAAAAATCTCGATTTTTTTATTTTTGAAAAAACTCAATTTTTTCGGAAAAAACTCATTTTTTTCAGAAAAACTCCTTTATTTTGTATTTCCGAAAAAACTTGATTTTTTTCGTATTTCTTGAAAAACTTTTTTTTTTGTATTTCCGAAAAAAAATCGATATTTTTCTTTAAAAAACTCTTTTTTTTCATTAAAAAAACGTTTTTTTATATTAAAAAATATCAAAATTTTGTATTTCCGAAAAAACCGATTCTTTCTTAATTTAAAAAAAACTCATTTTTTTATTTTTTATTTTTAAAAAATTGATTTTCGTATTTTCTTAATAAACTTAATTTTTTCGCATTTATAAAAATTAATTTTTTGAATTTTAAGTATATGATAAAAATATTTCAATAGATTCTTAAAATATGTATGATGGATTCGAATAAATTCATAAATATAAATGGATGGATTTGTTCAATCTATTAACTTATTTTTTATGTAATTAATAAATTATATAAATTTTTTAATAGATGAATTAGATAAATTTTATTTTAATAAATCCAATTGTCACCTCTATGTGACATGTCTAGTTATTCGATGTTCATTATTTCGATATATATTCGTACCTATCGAGATAAAAATATTTTACTCACCTTGCGAATTTATATTTTTTCAATGATTAGATAACCACACCATATTACTACATAGATATATGTCTAAAATATCTTTAGAAATTGCAATATTGTCGTGTACTAGGAGCAGTAGTATCCTATGTTGCTTTATACCCGTTTAAATACTTAGAAACGTGTATGTTCTGGAATTTTTTATGTCTTATCCATTTACTATGTATGACATCATTTGTACTGTGTTTGGGATGAGTAACAATTTGTGTTTTGTTTGTATTTAAAAGAACGGTGAAGTTGGAAATATTTACTATCTGTGGCGGTAGTTGAAGAAGAAGATGATGAAAGAATGGAAGGATATTCCAGTTGAACTTTTGATGCAGATTTTATCACTTTTAGATGATGAAACGGTTATTATAGCTACTCATGTTTGTCATGGCTGGAGGGATTCTATTTCTTTTGGTGTTACTCACTTATCACTCTCATGGTATATACTATAGTCCAATACTTTTCTTGTTCTTCTTTGTTTTCTCTCTTGAAGCTATGATTAATAGGAGTATATGTATTATTAGGTGTAGCAAGAACATGAATAACTTGGTTCTATCTCTAACTCCTAAGTTCACAAAGTTGCAAACTCTAATCCTTCGCCAAGACATGCCTCAACTAGAGGACAATGCTGTTGAGGCTGTTGCAAAATTCTGCCGCGACTTGCAGGTTTTGGACCTTAGCAAAAGTTTCAAGCTTACGGATCGTTCGCTGTATGCTATAGCTTTTGGTTGTTGTGATCTTAGAAAACTCAACATCAGTGGCTGTTCGGCTTTTAGTGACAAAGCTTTGGCTTATCTAGCTAGTTTATGCAGAAAGCTGAAAGTTTTGAATCTATGTGGTTGTGTTAAAGCTGTATCAGATAACGCGTTACAGGTATATTTGTCATCAATTTCATATAAGAATTAGGATCTGTTTGGATTGGCTTAATTAATTTTTGTGTGAAAACTGTTAAGAGAATAGAAAGCAGTTAAACTGTAACAGAATTGAATCACACTTCATTGCACTTAGAATCGTTACAACAGACCCATATATAGGCCTAATAGAAATGCCAGCTCAGCAAAGCTGAACTAACTAAACAATCTATATATATAGGCCTAATAGAAGAGTAATCTATATTTATCTCTAATAGTCCCCCTTAGAAACCAAGGGTGCCTTCAAAAGTTCCTTTGTGTTGTAAACTCTCAGTTTGTCCCTTAGAGGGAGAAACTTATTAGCAGAAAGTGGCTTAGTAAGGGCATCTGCCCATTGATCTTGAGCTGGAACATGAGCAACTGTCAAGCTTTTGTTGAGGACTTTTTCTCTAACAAAGAAAATATCAAGCTCCATGTGCTTTGTCCTATTGTGAAGAATAGGATTATGAGCCAAAGTGACTGTACTTAAGTTGTCACAGAGAATTCTAGGAATCTGAAATTGACAGTGAAGTTCAGTTAAGAGAGATTGAATCCAAATCAGTTCAGCAGCTAATTGAGCCATACTTCTATACTCGGCTTCAGCACTAGACCTTGCCACAAGTTGCTGCTTCTTTGACCACCAGGATATGAGATTAGGACCTAAAAACACACAGGCACCTGAAGTGGATCTTCTATCATCAGGGTCTGCTGCCCAGTCAGCATCACAGAACCCTAAAAGAGACAGAGGCTGCTGCTTGGAGGCAGGCTGAATGAGTAAACCATGATGAACTGTTCCACTAAGATACCGAAGTATCCTCTTGACAGCCTTCCAATGCTCCTCTAACGGATTGGAAAGGAATTGGCAGACTTTATTGACAGAAAAAGAGAGTTCAGGTCTGGTTAATGTTGCATACTGTAGGGCTCCAACTACAGATCTGAAAAGAGTGGGATCAGCAACAGACTCTGAACCACATTTAGAGAGTTTGCTGCTTGAAACCATAGGGGTGGGCATAGAGTTAGCAGTGGACATGTTTACTCTAGCAAGCAAATCAGTGATGTACTTGGACTGAGAGAGAAGTAAGGCTCCATTGGGAAGATGATTCACTTGAATCCCTAAGAAATAGTCCAGTTGCCCCAAGTCTTTAAGAGCAAATGTGGTGTTGAGAGTTTTGATAAGATTAGAAATATAAGAGGGAGAATTTCCTGTGATTATTATGTCATCCACATACACTAAAATCAAGATGGTTAGGCTGTCACTGTGAAGAAAAAATAGACTAGGATCACACTTGCTTGCCTTCAGCCCAAGCTTGAGGAGAAAACCTTTCAGCCTATCAAACCAGGCCCTGGGGGCCTGCTTTAGCCCATATAAAGCTTTGTTAAGCTTGCAGACAAGGGACCTGTCATCAGCTTCAAAGCCAGGTGGCTGCACCATGTAGACTTCTTCTTCAAGAATGCCATTTAGAAAGGCATTGTTGATGTCAATTTGCCTAATAGACCACCTGTTTGAAACAGCCAGAGTTAGCACAGTTCTAACAGTAACCGGTTTGACAACCGGAGAAAATGTCTCAGTAAAGTCACTGCCAGCCCTTTGATGGAAGCCTTTGGCTACCAGGCGAGCCTTATATCTGTGAATGGAGCCATCAGGATGTTCCTTAACACGAAAAACCCACTTACAGCCAATAGGCTTAGCTGAAATAGGAGGAGTCACCAAGTTCCACGTCTGATTTTTCAAGAGTGCCTGAAATTCATCCTTCATGGCCTGAAGCCAGTGAGGGGAAGCCAAAGCTTGTTTAACTGTTGTAGGTTCCATGTGGGTTAAGAGAAGGGTGGGGTGACGTTTGGGTTGCACAATCCCAGATTTAGCACGGGTTTGCATAGGATGAACATTAAGGGAATGAATTGGATGAGACATAGGAGCATGAGGAGAGCTGGAACCAATTGGTGAGGCAGAAGATGGCTGAGAGAAAGGAGAAATGGTGCTGTTTTCAGCTATGTCAGCCATAGCAGATTGAGAGGACTGAGGAGATGCCAAACTATTGTTGGAGATAGCATCTGAAGCTGCTGATCCTAGGACAGAACTAGATTGCACAGGAGAACCTTGGGTTACAGGGGAAGAAATAGGAGTATGGAGGGGCTGATTCATAGTGGGTGAAGCAGGAGGAACTTGATGCAAAGGGGTAGCTTGGATGGGAGGCAGAATAGGTGGCATGGCAGAAGTATACCATGAGTGAGATGAGGGAGCAGAGGTAGATGACTGGGATGGGAAAAACAGTTCTAGATAGGGGAATCTACCCTCATTAAAAAGGACATCCTTGGAGATGTAGATAGTGCCATTGGCAGCCAAACATTTGTAACCTTTGTGACTTGAGGAATAGCCTAGAAACACACACTCTTGAGAACGAAAATCCAGTTTGTGTGAGTTATATGGCCTAAGAAAGGGAAAGCAAGCACATCCAAATACACGAAGACAAGAATAGTCAGGGGATTTGTGCATTAGAAGAGTATAAGGAGACAAATTGTTAAGAGAGGTGCTAGGCAGTCTATTGATAAGAAAGGCTGCAGTGACAAAGGCATGATCCCAATAACACATTGGGAGTTTGGAGTGTGCTAAAAGAGCTAAACCGGTTTCAACAATGTGACGATGTTTCCTTTCCACTATGCCATTTTGATGGTGTGTGTAAGGACAGGTAAATCTATGCACAATACCTAAGTTGGTGAGGTACTTGGTGAAAGGTTTGAACTCACCACCTCCATCACTTTGGACAGTTTTAATTTTGCAATTAAACTGAAGTTCTACCATGGTTTTAAATTGAATGAATTGGGATAGGGTGTGAGATTTTAGTTTGAGTGGAAAGACCCAAACAAATCTAGAGAATGCATCCACACAGGTTAGGAAATAGGAATAACCACCTGAAGATGACACAGGAGCTGGCCCCCATAAGTCACAGACAACTAACTCAAAGGGATGGTGATAAATGGTAGTTGATAAAGAGGAAGGAAGTCTGTGTGATTTGCCTTGACAGCAGGCAGCACATAGAGCATTTGGTGGTTTGGGAGGGAGAGGAATATTGCACAGTTTGAGTACTTCAGAGAGGGCATGGTGATGGGGATGGCCAAGTCTTGAATGCCATAGATGATATTTAGAATCTGAGATGGTTATATTGACTGCAGGATTAGTAGTAGACACAGAATATGGCTTAGTAAAATTTGAAATACTTTTATTCATAGTGGAAGGAGTATTACAAAGATCAGCATTACAATGTTCAATAGATTTTGCTGCAGATAGAGTACTTAGACAAGATGGACTAAGCTTATTACAAATGCTATTTCTATTAGGCTGAAGCTTGGACATAGCAGGATTAGCAAATCTGTAGAGACCATCAGCTCCCACAGTGCCATGAAGAAGAATCTCAAAAGAATCCTGCGATTTGACAAGACAAAACTGAGGATGGAATTCAAAGAAAACACGATTATCCTGAGCAAACTTGCTGACACTGATGAGATTCTTAGTGATATGAGGTACAAGCAGAAGTTTAGTGAGAATTAGAGAAGAATTAGGCTGTGTTTGTGAGGGAAAAGTCATAGAACCTACAGAATTAATTAACAAACCTTGGCCATTACCCATGTACACTTGTTCAGTTCCATTCAGAGATGAAGCATCAGACAAATTCGAAGCATCAGGTGTCACATGGTGAGATGCGCCAGAGTCAGGGTACCACCATTGGTTGCTGAAATGAGGATCAGATCCTGCAATAAAGGCTTGAGGAACAGGTGCTCTTGGTGGTGCTGAAGCACGGGGAGGAGCATAACCATACGCATTATAGGTAGGAGCACGAGGTGGCACTGCATAAGGATTGAATGGAGCTCTGGGAGCATTGAATGAGGGAGTTCCAGGATAGGAATACCTGTGGTAGCAGACAGATGCATCGTGACCAGATTTGCGGCAAATTTGACATGAAACTCTCCCAAATCGGCCACCACCACGACCGGAGCGACCTCCACCACGCCAATTACGTCCACCACGAGTTCCGTATCCTTGATTCTCAGCGTTTGCTGTAATATGACTGGTACCAGTAGGAAATTCAGAACTAGAATCCACACCAGAAGCATCTGTAGTGGACTGTGACGGTGCTGGTGATGATTGAGTTAGATTCACTGTAGCAGATTCAGTTAGGGCAGACTTACGATTCTTCTCAAGGCGCGATTCATGAGCAAGAAGACTCGACTCAAGCTCATCCAACGAACACATATCTTCTTTGCTGTTGATCGCCGCGACAATTGAATCGTATTCTTCAGGGAGTGCATCAAGCACTATTTCAATTAGGTTTCGAAAGGGAACAGGATCACCGATTGAAACCAGAGCTTCGCTGATTTCACGAACACGAACAAGAAACTCAGTGATGGTGCGAGAACCTTTGGTCAAGTAGCGTAGCTCAGATCGAAGTTGTCTCGCCTTCGTAGCAAGAAGAGTGGTGAAGTGACGATGAACCTCAGTCCATACTTGCCACGAATAGGTGCAATCCACCAGTTTAGGAAGTAGCGAATCGGAGATCGTGCTGAGGAGCCAGGTGCAGATTAGGGCGTCCTGCTGTTCCCAATCGAGAAACGCTGGATTGGCGCCGCCGGTAACAGGATCGGTGCCGGAGAGGAGGCGCGGAGGTACAAGCGGTGTCGTGACGAATTGCTGAAGCTTGTGTCCTCTGATAATGCCTTCAATTTGTTGTTTCCACTGTTTGAAGTTCTTCTCATCAAGCTTCACCGAGATGAGATGTGACAGTTTGACATGAGAGGAAGGAAAGCTTCCCTCAGAATTGAAAGGAGATGCCATGGAAGCCCTAGATCAAGAAAATAGCTCTAGATACCATGTTAAGAGAATAGAAAGCAGTTAAACTGTAACAGAATTGAATCACACTTCATTGCACTTAGAATCGTTACAACAGACCCATATATAGGCCTAATAGAAATGCCAGCTCAGCAAAGCTGAACTAACTAAACAATCTATATATATAGGCCTAATAGAAGAGTAATCTATATTTATCTCTAATAAAAACAAGGCCTTAAGATGGTTATGATCTATGATCCAGGCAATTGGACATTACTGCAATGAGTTACAGTCTTTGAACCTTGGTTGGTGTGAACAAATCAGTGACGTTGGAGTGATGAGTTTAGCATATGGATGTCCTGATCTTAGAACACTTGACTTATGTGGTTGTGTCCTTATAACAGGTATTTCATTCTATATACTCTAATTGCCAATTACTTGTGTTTTCTTATGAGTCAGATTTTGTCTCCATATTGTTCCTTATTTACTTGAGCATAGAAGTCTACAACTTTAGATTAACAACAGTGCTACCATGACTCTGATGTTGTTGCTGCAGATGATAGTGTAATAGCATTGGCGAATAGGTGTCCTCATTTGAGGTCACTTGGGCTGTACTACTGCAAAAACATAACAGACAGAGCTATGTATTCATTGGCACAAAGCAAAGTGAATAACAAGATGTGGGGTTCTGTGAAAGGTGAATATGATGAGGATGGTTTAAGGTCTTTGAACATTAGTCAGTGTACATCACTCACTCCTTCAGCTGTTCAGGCTGTTTGTGACTCATTTCCAGCACTTCACACCTGCTCCGGAAGACATTCACTCATCATTAGTGGCTGTTTGAATCTCACATCTGTGCATTGTGCTTGTTGCGCTCGCCCTCACGGTGCTATAAATGCTTTCCCTCACTCAGCTCATTGAACCAGATAGGTTTTGTTGGGTAAAGACATGTCAAGAAAGTTTATGTTGAGGTCTGTATATTATGTAGAAGTTAAATGTTTATGTTGAGGTCTGTATATTATGTAGAAGAGCTTGAACTTGTCTTGGAAGCTTCTTGTATTCTCCGAATTTCATGTGATGCTTTGGATGTAAATATTGGTTTATTCCAAGTTTAGCTATGAATTTATGGTAGGACACTATACCATAGACTTTCAATTTTGTGTGGTTTATGGAAGGATGTTATGTGATGTTAGATTTCTTTCATGTCTAAAGAATTGATTTTTCTTGAGTAATCTGAAGGAAAATGGAATCTGTGCTGGTAAAAAGAAACTATAATAAAGATGGCTATTTTGCCAACAAGGTCAACTATAGAAACTTTGTGTGGTCCTTCCACTTCCAACACTCAACATTCTGTAGAATTTAAAATAAAATAAAAACATAAATTTTGTGGGGCTCTTTCCATGAGTTGACTATGATGTACGTGTTGGACACCAACAAGGAGTCATTGTCAGTAAAACAGTGAAAAGGTCCAATATAGAGCATTGATTTCAAATGTATTGATTTCAAATTTTAATCTCCAAGTTCTTAAATTCTAGAGCCACCTGTAGTACATTCATACAGAGAGATTTGGCTAATCGATTACATAGTTTGCCATGTGCTGTAGTCAAGTGCATTAACATTTGATTAAATGTTATGTATGATATGCCCATGTACTTTGATGACAACGTAATTACAACAAACAACAAAATATTAATGGTTCACACCATTGTCTTCACAAAACTGTGCTCAGTTTCTTTCAGTAATATCATCCAACGAAATATTGACAAGGGCTGAATTTTGGTTTTATATTCCCATACGCAAATGGATTATTTGCTTTTGTAAACTATCTCTTCATCGTCCACATCAAATGCTGGATTACAAAGACATTTGAAGAGCCTACCAATACCCTGCAAAGCAGAAACATTTACATATTTCTGTAACCAAAGTTTCAACACCTATAGATCAACCCATGCTTGGTGGTATAAACTTAATGGTGATCATATATTTGAAAGCCGATATTATGTGTTCGTGCAAATATGCAAAGTCGCTGTCATTGGATCAATAGTTTTATCATACCTGAGTGAAAAAGGGAGTTCGATAGGTAAGTGCTCTATGCGATGATTCATCGTCTGATGAATCAGAGCTGCTTCCTTCGTCATCAGAATCAACAGCATGTTTCTTCTTTAGTGTTTCTCCTTTTGCATTCTTTTCCTGAAGGAAGCACATCACAATGTATCAGTTACTAGCCGAAAAAAATAAATTCTTATCATTGTAAAATAGCTTTCTTGGCTCTTGTGTGAGTTTGAATGGAGGACTTTTGGAGAGAAAGAGAGTGAGTATACTGAATATGAAAAGCAAAGTGTCTTATCTTTTGTTCTCACAACAAGTCATTTCAGAAGGTAATATCCAATAAAGTTTTTCGTTAGATCTCAATAATTGGTATCAAATCATGTCAGAGATGATAGGGTATAATGCTAATGTTAAAACTAAAATAGATCCTCTGCAGCTGTCTTTTATGATTTTTCCTTCTTATTTAACGGTCTCCAGCTAACTCCACCATAAAACTAGCTGCAAATGATCCAAGTCTGTTTAAAAAGAGGTCTTGTGGGTAACAAAGACTAATAAGTTAAAATGTGCACCTGAAATATCTTCCCAAGAATTTTAAGAGCGATGGCTCGAACTTTAAGTTCCTCTTTCCGAACATTATTTTCCTTTAGCACCTGCAATAACAAATATATGAGTAAGATTTTTCTAGCCTTTTTTTCCTTCATTATGCTGGTTGATCATAAAAAGAAAATCAATTCTCAGAAAAGAAGTCATTGAAATTCACTATGACTCGTCTTAGGTACATTAGTCTCAAGCCTTAATAGCTGAAAATTCCTCATTTCATCATTAGGTAGGAATCCTATATTTTCGTAACAATTCCTTTCATGATATCTGGACAAAAGGCACTAAATACAATGACCTGTTTTCTGATCAATTACTTATATCATCTTACTTACAGTGTATAACTTTCTAATATGTTCATCTTTAAATATAAGAGTTATTGAATTTTTTTTTAATTAAAAGTTACACAGATTTACACATTAGAAGAGAGAGAAATAGTTTTACAAGTTGCAAAAAATATTGAACATAATTAGAAATATGTTGGTAAAAGATTAATTAATGCAGTTAGAAAGGTGTTTTATAAAAAGAGATAAGGAAAAATCTCTAACAGGCATTCAGAACTCACCATTTGACACACGTGTGCAAGGGTTACTTCTATGTCCACTACATTTAACTTCCACAGCGAATTCAACAAAGTATCCTTATTGAGACGAATATGGGAGTCAACATTTTCAGGGCAACTACCACCAGTTCTAAATTGCCTGCTGAGTTCTTCTTGAAGTTGGAGCAACTGAAAAGCACCTGAATCGTACGTGCACAATATGATCGAACATTGTTTGGAATAACTAACTTTCAATAATATAAGCAATTGACATTTCAGGGAAAGGGTTGTTAATGGAGAACAGAGCCAGTATACCTTTAGCAGCTGTTAACTGTGATTTCCAGAAGTGTCCTTTATTGCGAACCCATTCAGTCAGAAATGGCACTCCAAGATAAAGGGCCTTTTTCCCTAGTTCTTGAGCTGCTTGTCTCGAGTATATATAGCCTATGGTATGTAACATGTCAACTCCAAAAGCTGCAAGCAGAGACACGGGTAACTAGTTAGGGAAGTTAGGCGTTATCAATCACTGAACAAAACAAATGCCGTTTTGTTCAAAGTCTACAATGCTACATTGCTACAGCATCACTATAGCTACAATTTAAACAATATGCATTGATAGCGTATCACATCTTAATAGTGATTTGTTTAAATTCCATAATCTAATAGGATTATAATTCCGCCATAAAACAAAATGTATGTGTCATTTAAAATTTCAGTAAGAGAAGTGTTACGCCAAGCTTTGAAGTTCAACGTGGGGAATTCAAATGATAAGCAACTGCAGCATGGGTTTAGAACTTAGAATTCACTTACCTGCATGAGAAAGCCGTTTTGCTTCGGATTCAGCGCGCTGCAAGAAACCTTTTTGGTCACCGCGGACATATTGGTTGAGACAATCTTTCAAAAATCTTGCTAGCTTTTCTTCCCTTTCTTTCTGGACAGCCTATATTGAAGCACAGCATAATTAAAAATTCATAAAATATATTCCAGGGGAAGAATACATGTATTATACATGTGTGCGTACTATGTATTAGGATTCAAGGAAAGATAGCAAAAAAGAACAGAATGAGAGGTAGACATTGTGCATTTGCTTTAAATTCTTTGGAAGAAAAAATAATCACATTATAAGAGTGGGAAAATACAAAATCCTTTTTCTACATCAAAGAAAATACTAGCATGGAAGATCTAGCAAAGAAAAAACTGAATTTCAGAACACACTTGCCTTTAGCTTTTCCTGCAAATCCTCACTTTCATCCGCTAGATCAGAAGAAGCCATCGATGCAACAGCTAGATGCCCAACGTAGTCCTCAAACAATTCACTTCCAAAGAGCAGGGCAAAGACAGCCATGGGGTCAAGCATCGTTTCTCTGTCAAGGAGCCCATATTAATATTTTGTGAAAACATGTTCACCTTAAAGGAAGAAATATTTTGTGATTACATTACACCCAAGTTTTCTTTTTCTCTTTTCCTATCCTTTTTCTAACCAGCCAAGTAGAATTGTGATTCAGCAAAAGTTCTTTTGAAAATTAATATTAATGAGTATTAAAATAACAACAAACATAGAAACTCTAGCATTCTGTTTCAACATTTACTCAGGTAACAGAAAACTGAATGATGTTTATATATACCATACATGCAATGACAGAAGTCATGACTAGTATTTAACTAATATACCAATCATGTAAACCTTTTTTGTACCGTGCTTCAATCATATCTCGCTTATGAAGCACCAACACAGATACATACACCAAACACAAGTCTAACACCAACATATAAACATGCTCTAACTTTTAAAGTAATTAAGTGATGGAATATAATCAAACATGTTGAACATTGAACATGCCATTAATCCATAGTTTCATTGCTATTTGCTACATAATCTTGCCATTGCCACACAAATAGTTGATGAAATACGTATAGTAGTATAATAAAGTAACATCATGAGGTATTTGTGTGCTATGAAGCACGGATACTGGAAATAATTTAAAAAGATAAATAAATCAAACGTTATCATAAATGTTGGTGTTGGTTTCAGACACGTTTTTTCCAGAGATGTGTGTTATAGAGTTTGTGTGTACCTAGATACAGAATGCTTTCCATTTTGATCATACCCCTTCCTCTGTACCGGATCACTCAAAACCTGATAAGCTTCGCCCAAAATCTGCCAACAATATAATTATTATGTAAATTATTTCACATGAGCATAAATAAAAAATAAAAAATAGAAATTATAAAAAACAATGAGATACATAGAGTTACTAGTACCTGGAACTTGTGTGCAGCGTTAGGATCGTTTTGGTTTCTATCAGGATGAACTTGCTTCGCCTGTAACAAACAAGTAAGCAAAATTTTCAATGCAAAATTCAGAATATAGAAAGGAAAAAACAAAAACAAAAACAAGAAAAGAATGCTGAAAGAATGACGAAACCTTTTGATAATAAGCCTTGCGAATTTGATCATCGGAAGCCGAAGGAGAGACTCCGAGGATATCGTAATACTCTGTTTCCTTCACCATTGTCGAGAGAAAGAAGAAAGAAAAGAAAGAATGAGAAAGTGAAATGAGCGAGTAGGAGGTGTAGGCTTTACAGTTAGTTGTAAATGTGTAGATTATGATTTCATGATCACGGCAAGTGCTTTTTCGCGGGAGATAACTGTTTTTTAAGTTCTTTCATCATCATTATTCCTATTTTCTTATTCATTTGTTAAAAAGTTGGAAAAAGAGAGTCACTTTAGGAGCTGTCAGTGGGCCTTGGGTTCCATCCTTAGGTGAATTGATGGGGGTGCTTTTTCTTGGAAATGGGGTGTGTCGTGTTCGTGTATAATTGCTTTTTATAGAATAAATTAAATAACTTCTTTTATGTTTCCAGCTAAAAAAATAAAGCTATTGTGTTTTATTTACACACTTGAAAATGGAAAATACACAATTTTATTTTTTATTTAAGAAATATTTTCATTTCAAGTTATTGTGTTTATCTCTCTTTTCTATTAGACCAGTTCGCATTAGATAGGATAATTTCTCAAAAGAATTAGAAGTCTGCTTCATCCTGGACTGTGTTGATACTTGCCTGTAGGGAGGATATTAATGTATTTGGTTACATTTCAACTTATTAAGTGGAGGTTTTCATGAGGGCATGTCCAAATATAGGCACCACTTTTGAGTTACAGCTACCATGTTGAAACATCAAAGTATAAATATAGATAAACGTCTTTTCTTTATAAGAAAACAGGAAATTCACAGCTGATAGATACTAATGCTCACATCCATTAAAAGATATTCGGGCTATAACAAAATTAAATTTTTTGGTACATGTGAAGAAATTTGATAGCAATTGAAATTCACACGACAAAGTGGGAAGGTAACAGCTGCTTAGGAACATTATAATCACATCACCATGAGCAACAGCTACTAGTAGATGCATCAGACTCTTGGGGTTTCTGCTTGAAGATGTTCTTTTTCACACCAGATGAGCCCTCGGCCAAGAGGCTTGGTGTATCCAAAACCTGAAAATGACAAAAAGAATCCAAAATTACTTTCATTTTCTGAAGGTGCTGAGTTGTAATTAATGCAAACAAATAGAAGCAGCTTGGTGTATCCAAAACCTGAAAATGACAAAAAGAATCCAAAATTACTTTCATTTTCTGAAGGTGCTGAGTTGTAATTAATGCAAACAAATAGAAGCAAATGGGTGCTTGAAGTTCTTTTGTTAAGGAAGGACAGATACATTAAAAAAAATATATAGTATGCAATGAGGTCCTTTTGTTGCAGGAGAACCCCAAGAAAGGTCCAGAATTGGATGAATATCTCAAATACCAACTTTAAGCAAGCTTGAGTCTATTTATTTATTTTCTTGATTTTGAAGAGATGGGGAGAGTTGAGTGAGAACCTTCATTACAAGCTCCTCAAAACACTGCTCAACATTTACTCGAGTTTTTGCACTGCATTCAGTATAAAGGCACCCATATTGCCTTGCAAAGTCCACTGCTTCCTTTTTGGTAACAACCCTTTCACTTTCCTGAAAAATGATATAAGCAAACTTCTTACTGAATCGGTAATTCAAAACTTAATACACAATCTGGTAGAGAAAAGTAGTACACATGCAAGTTCATAAATGGTGTACCTTGTCAACTTTGTTCCCTACAAGCATCTTGATGCAATCTTGATTTGTTGAGTATAGGTCAATTTCTTTAGCCCATATGTCAGATAGATTTGTAAAGGTGTCCCGCCGCGTTACATCATATACTGTATTCATAACCCAGATTCATTAATAGGTTTAAAATATAAACTGATAGATAAATGTAGCTGCCACAGCTAAAGAATTAAAACATTCTCATTACACTTAGAAGAATAACTTAAAGCAATACTGTCTTTGATTGAGCCAGTTTAATCTCAGGAAAGTATCGCAATTGGCATATATCTTTAGTTTGAAATGTTTTAAACAAAAGTCCCTTCAATTCCTGAATATCTTCTTGATCATCACTTGCAATAACAATATCATTAAAGTACACAAAAAGATAAATGAATTACCCTATCATGAGTACTTAAAAAGTATAGACACTGCACTTCACAATAAACTGTGTCAAGCTGTTGGATAACTTTACTAAATTTTCCAAATAAAGTTCATGATAATTGGAATTAGCATTTATTCTAATAGAAAGGAAAATCAAGATCGATATTCTAGACTCTAGTGTCACCGAGCAATGAATTGTCTCATATTGTCACATAGTATTAGCAATAATAGTCAGGTCCTTCCTTTAAACTTCATAACATGTTTTATATGGTCGGAACTCGGAAGTGTATCACAAGTCTTGGTTCAATAGAATTTCACAACATTGTTATTGAATATAACATTATTACGTTAAAAAGAAATGTACGGATATACATATATGAAGAAATAGTTTCTTGATCCCTAAATTTCAAAATTAGATCAATTAGCTTGGGCCATATCCATGGTAACTATGAAAATTAAACAAGACTACAGAAAAATAATGAAGCGCGGACACCAGAAACACGAAACTGAATAAATTAAACGTAATCACAAGACACCGACACTGACATATCTTTTTTCAGAGGTGTCGGTGCTACAAAGAAAATAACAGAAATGCTAATAATAACTATAATGAAAATCATCAAGTTTGCTACCCATTTATTTACACAAAGAACACAAGGGATAAAAGATAAAATAGGAATCAGTATGAACTATACACATAGCCATGTTGCATGTTTACACCTCAAAAAGATAAAAGATTCAAACGAAATGTGTAAAACATACATCATATTCATGTCATAGCAAGCATGGCTAAGAAATGGAAAAAATTTAAAGAGCATACCCATAATTATTCCTTGTGCGCCTCTATAATATGAACCAGTAAGTGTTCTAAACCTTTCCTGTCCAGCTGCACGACCAGAAAATACAAAATTAGTCAACTAATTTATTACAGATATGGTTGAACAGACATCTGCAAATTTATAGTCTTGTAAATTTGTAAGGAAGAGAGAAGACTTTAGTTTGACAAAATAAACTGTCAACTCTGTCTAATCTAGAAGAAATTCTTTATACTGCACATAGCAACTAAAGCATCATGCTATACAATATGTTTTCTGAAATATATATATAGAAAATTTTCAATCTGCTGTTCAATTCAAGAAAGTAGATTGAAATATAAATGTGTGATATAATATTATGATAATGATACTGCAAACTAAAGTTTACTCGTCCCTTTAACATGAATACAAGGTCTATTTCTCCTATTCTGATTTTAAACAATTTTACAGAGTCCACACCTTAAATAATTTAGTATTATAAGTTTCCAGAAAAAAGAAAAAAAAGAAAATCAGCTTAGCACATTAGACATTACCTGTGTCCCAAATAGCAAGTTTTAACTTTTTTCCACCAAGTGTAACATATTTAACTTTGAAGTCTACACCTGCATTACGTTCAAAAGAAGCAATGCAAATAAATGAGGAAATATGTAGTTTAACCTATAATTGGGTGGTAGGGACGATAAAAATGAAACATAATGAAGTGGATATAAGGTGGATAATGATTGAAGCACTATTGAGATTCCTTAAAATTCTCCCAACAGCCACAGTGAGAGAGGTTGAACTCAAGTCAAGATGCATAGTAAAATAGAGAAAAGACATAAAAGTAATCGAAAATGCATAGTAAAAATGGAAACAAGGGTTTAGTTTGGAAGTGAATTGAGCAAACCGATAGTGGGAGAAAGATCCTCGAAAGTATCAGAGGTGAATCTGAGAAGCAGCGTGCTTTTTCCAACTCCAGAATCACCAATCATGAGAAGCTTGAACAAGTAATCGAATTCAGCGTGAGTCAAGGAAGAGGAAGAAGCATTCATTTGGAACGGTTCGAGTGGTTTTGTTTATCCTTCTTCTTGTGTTGAATGAAAAGTATGTTTAGAAGGTTGCCGAATGTCAAAGAAAGGTTGAAACTTGATCTCTGCTTTACTTTCTGCGCTGAACCGGTGCTCTGTATAATGTAAAAACCGGTTTCTTTGCTTTGGATTTTATTTATGGGATCAAAACAAACCGACTTATTTCACTTTTTTCTATAAATTTATTTTAAAATATATAAAAACTATATTCAAATGGACTTCTATAAAATATTGTTTTAGATATTTTATTCATCACTCTTATATTTATAGTTTGAAACTTTAATTATGAATAATTTGTATAATGTCGAGAAAGCCAAGGAGTAGAACTTCCGTAATTTTGATCAAATAAAGAGAAAGAAAAAAGAGATTATGTATTTTTAATAAATCAGAAGGTGTTGATTTGATCAAGAAAGAAAAAAGAGATTATGTATTTTTAATAAATCATAAGGTGTTGATTTGATCAAAATTTTAATCTATTAGGCACTGAATTAACTTTTCTAATAGAATAGAAATACTTATTAGATTTTATATTTATTTGGATTATATTTTAAGAAATTTAATAAATTAAAAGTGATTTGAAATGTATTTTATAGGTGTGATTGTCTTGTATCTCAAGACTTACTCTTGTCCCTTTTATAATAAATTGATCACTCTATGGCGCTAAGCGTAGGATTAGACGAGTTATCACACTTTCTCACTTTCATAATTTTAAGACTTCACTTCTGTTTGATTCAACGATTGATTCGAATTTCAATTGAAACTTTAATCATCCGAGTGACGAGGCTTGTGATATATTCTTGTTGATTAGATGTCATCATCTAGAATTATTGGATATTTACAGTAAATTTTTCCCTTTGACAATTCTCACAAAGAACTAGTTGAAGAGAACTATTAACACCCAAAAGTCATTTGACTTGTGGAGTTATCGTCCTCTTGACAATTGTCAATAGTTTTTATTATCAAAATAACAGATGATTATACATGCATAACACATGGATCCACAACTATAAGGTACTCCCTCCATTCTCTTTTATAAGAAAATTTTGACTTTTTAGATTCATTAAATAAATGATATATTTAGACTATATTGGTTAGATACATCAATTATTCAATGAACCTAAAAACTTAAAATTTTCTTATAAATAGGAATGGAGGGAGTAGTTAATAAAGTGATTGTTAAAAGGCTCAATAATTTTATTCCTATGTTAGTGTCACCTTTTCAAACTTCATTTATTTCGGAGAAAAGTATCCATGAAAATATTGTGGTGACATAGGAAATGTCACAGAAAGGTGGATCTTTCCAAAGTTTATAAAAATCTCAATTAAAAGTTTATTTGGAAAATTATGATGTAGAATAAACTGCCAAAGAGATGATTGATGTCATTATGCATACAATTAATAATGTGGAAACTAATGCGAAGTGAATAGAGCTAGAGCAAATTATTTGTGTCCCTAAAGAAAAATTTGTTAAGTTGGTCAAATATCTCCTTACTTATTTGTGTTGTGCTTGAATAAGTTATCTCGTCTTATCTCAAATATGGTGGAAAGTGGCAATTAGAATGTTCTCGGTGTAGGAAGAAACTGTCCTTTGATGTTTCTTTTGGTGTTTAAGATGATTTTTTACGCTTAGGTGAAACTACAAAGGTAAAAATTAATTGTGTTTAAAGAATTCTTAAACATTTTTCTAAAATGTCTGGTCAACAGCCGAGCAATGAAAAGACTATCCTTTTTTATTTAAGAATGTGACTCATGTCTCCAGTGTTTTAATACAATTGTCTGAAAAATTTAGGAAAACACATACTCTTAATAATTATTTAAGGGTGTCATTGACAAGAAGAACTCTTAAGAATAAGTTTATGGTTTGGAAATTTAATCAATTATATTATGTTAGGATGGTTATTTTGGCTAAAAGTGTGTTAAAATGCATTCTTATATATCAAATGGTGACCACAATTATCCTTAAATTTTGTATATAAAGAATTTAAAGAATGCAGCAAAAATTTATTTGAGGAAAGATGAATAATGAGCAAAGATATCATGCACTCAGGTGGGACAAGATATATAAGTCTAAAGATTTAGGTGGACTTAGACTACATCATATGGATATCTTAGAAAAGACTTATATTTTAGGTGGTCTGGTTATTGGATGATAAGAAATTAGTGGATGTTTGTTCTTCTGCTTGGATATAGACTGACTTAAAATTTGCATATTTGAATTTTTTAGATCCTTATTACATTGCATCATGTTAATGTTTCGGATCTAACTGACACTAATTGTTTGGAGCTGAGCGTTGTCACACATATGTTTATCTAAAGAGTTTTTAATAAGAATAGTTTGTATTTTACCTCCTTATGATGTGATAGACCCAAACTTAAGAATTTTTTCAGTAAACACGATTATAATTTTTCAATGGCCTTTATTTTAAGGACCGACCATTCTCAGGCGCAATCTGCGTTATGGTGTTGCCCCCAAATTTTGGAGACTCAAATTTTTTTAATTTGTAAAGCAGTATAGATTTTACACCCGTTTTTTAAAAATAGGTGTAAAATCATAATTTGTTTTTAAAAATCTATATTTTATATAAGAATTTTTAAAAATTCACTATAAATTCTTATTTTTATATCAGATTTTTCAAATATCATATATAAAATCATAGAATTTTGAAGTATACCGATTTTTTCAAATATCCAAAAAATAGAAAAAAAATATGGTATTATTAACTTCGTTTTCTATTGGCCTATCAAAAATGAACTATCGGATTTTTGAAAAATCCAAAAAATTACAAAACATTCTGAATTTATCAAAAAATTAGGTAGTGTTAACTTCGTTTTTACACACCTACTCGATATGTACTACCATACTTTTTAATAGATAGGAATGATCTTAACACTCCTAAATTTTAAAGGTTCTGTTGTTTCTAGTAAATATTAGAATGGGGTGATCTTAACCATCCTAAATTTTAAAATATCAATCTCTTCTCTTTCTACCATTTTTTTAATTATAATACTTACACTTTTTTTTTTAAACCTAATCTTTTACATTTCTGTAGCCGTCATTTGTAGAGTAATAAAATATATTCTCTCATTCTTTATGTCATCATCATCTTGTGCACTAAAATTGGTATCTAGAGCTTCGGTTCGAATCTACATGGAAACGCGGGAAACACGAGTGAAATGGTGAGGCGTTGTGTGATTGATTCCGTGCACGAAATCGTAACAAAATCATATTTTCGGATTCTACGGGATTGGGAAACACTGTGTTTGGTGAGATCTGAGTGACTTGCACAAGGTTGAAGATGAACGGAAATGATAGTCTGAGCACCAAACTTCCAGTGTTCGATGGCAAGAACTGGAATCGTTGGATGATTCAAATGCGCGTGTTGTTCGGTGCTCAATATGTTCTTGAGCTTGTTACCGAAGGTTACGTTCCAGTTGCAGCGGATGCAACTGAGGAACAGAGAAACGCGCAGAGAGATAAAAGGAAGAAAGATCAGAAGGCGTTGTTCTACATTCATCAGTGTGTGAATGTGAACCTATTTGAGAAAATCGTTGATTTGACGATAGCGAAGGCTGTGTGGGACACACTGGTTAGGTGTTACGGTGGTGACACATCAGTGAAGAAGGTGAAGCTTTGGTCTCTATGAAAGCAGTATGAGAATCTCAACATGAAGGACAACGAGAAGGTATCTGAGTACATCTCTAGAGTGATTCTGATCACTAATGAAATGAAAGCTTGTGGAGAAACTCTTTCTGAACAAGTAATCATTGAGAAGATTTGAGGTCCCTTACCCTCCTCAATTTGATTACATTGTTGTAGCAATTGAATATTATAAAGATCTGGACACCATGAGAATAGAAGAGTTGCAAAGCAGCCTAGAGGCGCAAGAGTTGCGTCTGATTGAAAGAACTTCTGAAAGAGAATTTGAGCAGACTTTGAAGGCTTCTTTTGTCAAGAAGGACCATAAGCAAAAAAGACATGGTAGGTCTCAGAAGTCAGAAACCTTCACTTTTTATGAGAAGAAACATCAGAAAGGAAAAGAGAAGTAGGACAAGAAGAAGGTTCAATGTTACTGTTGCAAGAAGTTTGGCCATTTTGCTAAAGATTGTTGGTCAAACAAGGGGAGGAAATTAGAAGAAGCAAATATAGCCAGAGGAGATTCTGATGATAAACCTATGCTATTGGTGGCTTCTAGGTCTGATGGAAGATATTTGGTAGACTAGTGGTATATGGACACTGGATGCTCAAATCACTTGACTGGAAACAAACAATGACTGATAGATTTTGACTCCAGAAGAAGGACAAAGATCAAATGTGACGATGATAAGTACCTTAATGTAGAAGGTATGGGAAATGTCAAAGTTAAAGTGAAGAATGGGAAGACTGTTATGATCAAGGATGTTTGGTATGTTTCTGGAATTAAGAGCAATCTGATGAGTGTGGGTAAGCTCATTGAGAAATGTTTCTCAGTTATTATGAAGAATAATCTCTTGAAGTTGTATGATTCCAATCAGAAGTTGATTATGCAATCTAAACAGTGAAGCAACAGAACATTCAAGGTGAATGTGGATACAACTGAAACAGAATGCCTTATTACAGAAGGTGTTGAAGGTGATAGTAAGATGTGGCATAAGAGGTTGGGGCATCTGAACTATAAAAGTTTAGGGCATCTGAGTTCCAAGAAGCTCGTGCGTGGCATTATGAAGATTGTGAAGCCTGAGAAGTCATGTGAGGTATACATGAAAGGCAAGCAACCCAAATTGTTATTTATGTCAGAAGTAGTCCCAAGAGTAAAACATGTTTTGGGAGTAATGCATTCTGATGTGTGTGGACCATTTACAGAACCTTCACTTGGAGGAAACAAGTAATTTGTGTATTTTGTGGATGAGTTCATAAGAATGACATGGTTAACACTCATCAAGTTTAAGCATGAGATGTTTACCAAATTCCAGAAGTTCAAGGTGAA